CAGCGCGCATCAATTTGGACTCAAGTGAGCGTATAAATATTTTTATGCCAACGCAGTCGCAAAATGGCCTTAAAATCGGGCCCGATTTCCCGTTCTCCGCTTTTAGGGTCTCATTGCATTTGGCTGGAGTATGGATATTTGGGTTGCCTGCGGTCAAAGTAAGCCGCAGCGTCGCATTAGTGTTATTATTATTATTATTATAATTTTGAATTCGTACACAGACATGCAGGCAGATAAGCCGGGATTTTGTGGCGCAATTTAATAGAATTACAGCTGCATTTCTGCATTACACAGCTGCGCCCTTCGAAATTGTTAATTAATGGGATGGCACACAATAGACTTGAATTTGCCACTCGATTGCGGCTTCGTGGGGTTGTACTTCACATTTTGGTGAATGAAAAGTGAAATTGTGATTAATTTTAGTTTTAAAAATATGCTTAATAATTCACTTTCAAAGAGAGCATTCTTTTGTGACGGAAAACTTAATTTCAGGATTTTGGTATAACTTTTTTTGAGAAGTTTTGAACTCATATAAAGTATTTTATATTTCCTTTGAGTTTAAACTCAAAAACAAATTTCTATATTATTTAAGATAAGATAAATATATTGTTAAATACTATCGAATTTTCTGTGGGTTGATATATTACGTATACGTCGTCTGTCGAGAAATTGGTGGATCTGCCTGCGGCTTAAATATATCTTCCTCATTATTCTAAATATTTAGGCAATAAAATATAAATTTAACTTAAGCAATAAAAATTAAAAAGAGATAAACATAATCAACAGTGCTGAAAAAAATCTCGAATGCTTTTAAAAACTCAAAAATAGTGGGTACACCAATAAAAAAATATTCAATTTACATGGCATTCGGTATGCCAAAAATAGCATTGCATACTTTTAGACACATTTTAAAGAGTTTTGAAATTCATATTGTTTAATAAAATGGTCTTCTAGGGTGAAAAATAGTAGAAAAAATAAATAAAATATTATAAACTAAGATAAAAATTAAGAAATTAAAGAAAATAATAGAACCTTTAGTAAAATCAACTTCTAAAGCTCTAAAGAATATTATATAAAGTCTTTAAATAGTAGAGAAAATGAAGAGAATATTAAAACCTAAGATAAAAATTAAGAAATTAAAGATAATAATAGTACCTGCTGTAGGAATATTGTATTAGGAATATTTTTTTAGAATTTATATACTTTTAAAATACAAATCTCGAACCGGACTGTGTTTATTCTCATGCTCACGTGAATCGAGCTGACAGTAATTAGAACTAGGAGCCTGCCGCCCCTGTTATTGTAGCAGGACCTCTGTGCTCAGCAGGACAACAAATGTAAATTGTTTTTGAACTCGTGCAATCAGCACGCATACTTACTGTAGGAAAATGCCCTTCTGGATGGATTTGACCCATACCCATCCCCCTCCGGACAGCCGGGAGCAATCTGTTCGGTGTGCATAAGCTACGGCTGTCCATGGCTGTTCTATGGTCTCTCCTTTTCCTTGTTTTAAGCCTTTTCGATTTATTTGCTGACCCAGTTTTCATCGCCTCCCGGCTGCCCTGACTGCCTGGCAGCTCCTGGAAGCTGTCTATAATCCAGCGATTACATGTGACACACGCATACGTTGCAGCTTATTTTTCATTTCTTCGACTGTCGCCGGAGGATCCACAGGCGCAGCTGTTGGGTTCCCTTGTAGTTTGCATAAATAATTGAGCAGCCCGCATCAAGGGGAAGATACTTCCGGCTAATCCCCCCGAATGAAAACGCCATGGATGGGTTAATTTTTAAATAAAAAATGTTTAATCGTATCGCTCTCTTTGCTCTTGTTGTTTTGTTGTATTACAATATACTCTGTGGCGACAGTCATCTACATCGACATCGACATCGACACAATAGACAAACAACAATCCCGGCTCTGTTTATTTTTTATTCGAGTGTTTACCTATAAAGCAAATGCTGCTTTTTTCACTCCTTCCGCTTCTTTGCTTGCCTTTTGTTATTGTTGCTATTTGTTTATTATTGCAAATGCCTTGCTATGTCATATTAATGGTATGTTTTCACTAGTTTGCCGTTTAGTTTACTCGTAATTTCAACAGTTAAAAGTAGTTCGTTTTACACAGTTCGATTGCTTTATTACAACTATATTTAACCAAGACGTTAGTCACACGTGGTAGGTATGTTATGTTTGTAAATCTGTAAATGTACTTGACTAATGCATACGACTAGAGTTTCACTAATTAACTTTAATATACAGGAATTACTTAGCTGACGGCCTACAATTACATATATATATGTATACATTTATAGATTTATGTACGGCGCTTTAAGGGTTTATGGCAAATGCTTGTGGGCTTATGGAATTAGCATTTCCTCGATTCGGAATTCCAAATTGGCAGGCATATGTATATATTCACACTTAAACTGAACTGTAGGTATATGTATATATATTGCGGCGACTGTTCATGCCTTTGATTGGTTACATTACGACGTTGGTTGCATTAACAATTAGGAGATTAGCTTTAAAAGGAAAAGCACAGAAAGAAGAGATATACATTTTATTTGGAAAATTGCATTTAAAAATCTTCAAAGGATTTGAAATATTTTAATAATAATTTAAGCTTTGTTAAGACTTAAATTTAAAAATGTTTCAGTAGTTAAAACCCACTAAATGGTTGATAAATAATATATTTTAAAAGAGTTCAAAGCCAACTCAAGTAAAATAAAGTTTTACATTATTTATTTATATTTAAGAAAATTTTTCTAAAATTTGTAGAACCATTTTTAAAATAAATAATTGCTTGGAATATTCAAAGAGACTTGCAAACCTTAAATTTTCAAAAAGTTTTAATTTTTAAACCTCACTAAATTGCTTTTAAATATTTTAATTTCTCTAAGCTCCACCATTAAAATGATTTCTTCATACATTTTTTACTTAAAAATAAAAGTAAATTTTTTTAAATTTAAAATTCCAAAATTTCCATCCTTTTTAAATATTTTAGTCACAAATTTTCATCTGCTCGTTGGAAAATAACAATATCTGTGATTACTCACATAATGCGTTCATAAAATCAGCTTATGACTGAGATTATTTTTACAGCTTAACGGAAATTAATAAAATTAGTTTTGCCTTTTATGTGTGCTGCTGCAGTAAACAAAATGGAAATGCATACTCGTAATGCGGAATTATGTTTAATTATAATTGTGTTCAAACACAAGATGGGGGGAAATCATATCCAGCGGTCTTAGCCGCACACATTTTAGTTGTTCATCAGTTTGAATTGGTTTTTGCTCGATTGGACCAACTAATATGGGTTAATTTGTGAGTCTGTTTTGCAAAGTTGTTGTTTTATAATTATAACAATTCTGTTTTGCACATTTTATTAGTTAATTAAATCAATTTATTCTGTTGAACGGGACATTGTTTTTTATGGTTAATGTTTTTTGTGACATTTTCGACACTTTTGGTAATTAAAATTTGAAAAAATCTGTTAAATTAGGTTTTTATAATTTTTATAGCTGCTGAAAATATGAACTTTAATTACAATTGAAATAGTAATGGAAAGTCATTAGCCAGAAAGTGTAATAGTTGCTCGGATTAAACATTTACATTTGAAAATATTGTACAAATTTAAGGCAAATTACCCACGTTTTTAATTTTAGTACAACTTTTTGAAAAATCTAACAAAATCCACTAGAATTTTTATTAATGCCCAAAAGAATACCCCAGACTTTCTGGCAATTATGAAAAAAAAAACTTAAATTAATATCATTGCAATATCAAATTAAATAAATTTGTATATTTTTGTGGGTGAGTAAAGCGGGGAAAATTGAATTTACATTTGGTTTGGCGGAAAGTTACGCAGTGCAAATATTTGCATGATATGGCAATCAATTTAAATGTTTTATGACTCACTGCTGCTCCCATTTCGTTGCTGCATTTGGCCTGTCTACGTTTTTATCTAATTATTGGATATTGAGCTCGGCACTAGCGCACTGTACACTGCACATTATTTGATTATTCATTAATTTATTAAAAGAGCCGAAGCCAGCGCCAGCCGCTGGCGCCACATAGATTACTCATTCCCATAATAGTATTTGTGATACACTTATTTGTTTTTTATTTTTTACTTTGCTTCGGTAATGCCATAATTATGTTTAATTTTTGTATTTACACATATCCTATAGTAAATTTTGATTTTGTTAAATATACACATTAAATGGTAATCAATTAGCTTACACAAAGTATTTTTCTATATTTACAATGCTTTACAATGGCTTTGGGGCGGAGGGAGGATGTTGGATATATAATCCAGAAGGGGATTTTTTATATTTTCATTAACAGTATTTAATGAAGATATTAATACATTTTTTTGCAGATTAATAAGTAGAGCAAGTAAATAATACCAAAGTAATGCAGGTTTTTTTTTTTGTTTATTTTAAACGTATAAAGGTAGAGAAATAATTTTATAAAAAATAAAGCATAAATAAAATCTTTAAAATATTTATAAATAACAGTTAAGGAATATTATATTAAAATTAATACAGGTAAAATAAAATCATTAGTGCTTTAAAACTAAACAAAAAGAAATTAAACGTTTAAATTTTGATTCGATTTTTTTGTGTGTGTTTTTTTAAATAGCTTACTTTAAATGCTTCAAGTAAAAAAGAATAAAGGATAATAGTTCTATTATATTTATACAAGTAAACAAAACACCTGGAGTTTATAAAAAATGTATAAATATTTAAGGTTTCAATTGATTCTGAATTTGAAATGGATTGATTGCAAGTGAGACCATTGTGCTGCATTGTTTTTAATTTATTTATATTTATTTTTCTTTTTTTGTTTTGATTACAAGTTTAAAACTGACATCCTAAATGGCTGATTAGCCAACACTCTCGAAGAACCATTCACTCGCTCAACCATTTTTACTCACTCGCACTCTCACATTTAATGTGTGGCTTTAAATTACTCTACTTAGTTGGTGTGGTTGCTGCCGCCGTTCGATCATCTGTGACAGGACCTCTTGGCCAGGACCTGACCGGAGCAGGCCTGGCGACAGCTCTTGACCGCTGGACACCGCTTCCTCGTTGTCGCCGTCGCCGCTGCTGTGGTTGCTGATGCTGTATCACTTTCACTGGCTGCCATCTGTGATCCTGTCGAGGATGACCGAGGAGTTGATGGCAAGGACGCTGGCAGGACGGCGCTGCACTGGCGACTGTAGCAAAGGACAAGGCCCAGCAGCAGGACAATTGTCAGCCAATTGTACTGACAACCGGATGAGCCAGTTTGCATCGCCTCCGGATGTTCACCTGAAATTATGGCCCGAACTAATTTCAACTTTATTGCATTGTCTTGAGCTTACATGTTAAATTTGTACACGGTAAAATGGGGGAAGTGCACCGAGAGAAAAGGGGAGTTATCAGTTGTAAAGGTTTAAGGATAGTTGATATAGATTTTTATATAAAATAATGTTTGATTATAAGACTTGAAAGGGGATTTGAATAGGAAATACTAGTATTAAAGTTATCTTCGATTTGTATTATTTCTTTCAGTGTCTAGGTAGCGGTAAATAAAAGCCAGAGTTCACTTAGACAAGTACAGCCTCAAGTCCAAGTTGTATCCGTGTTTGCAGTATCTGTATCCTTATGACTCCTCGAGTCAGCGTGCCGTAACAAAATTGACCGTCTTTATTTGTTGCGCTCTGTTTGGCCTCTCGCACAAGTGTTTGTATGTCCCGTTGTTTGTATTGGTACATAAATATTTAATTAATGCTGCAGTGTTTAGTTTTCGGGCCAAAGGAGCCAGGGGAAATCGTCAGACATTTGTGATTTCAGCCTCGACAAACTCGGTGTCAGTCGAAGCGTATGAAATATTTAATCATCAAACTGCCGACGACCACCGAATAATTAGCTAATTTCTCTCCAGCCTTTGTGCCAGTAGCTATGGTCATTAATAAATTGATTTGCCAGATGATTTATCTGCAGTTCAACCGGACACAATGTAACCGTTTAATTGCCGAAATGAATAGGCCCTGTTAACACACACGTATTGTATATATCCTGGGGGGCGGAGTATCCTGGAGGCTCTTCAAAGCCGTAAGTGTGGGCACGCGATGGCCGGAAAACGAGTGCATAAATAACACAAAACAATTGCCCATCTGCCGTAACACCTTAAGTCCTTCAAGGATTCACAAAAACACACACAGACACTAGCATGTATCAATGGCAATTGATTGAGTTGAATTTTTCAAGCAATTAACTTTGGCACTTGAGTCCAACTCTACAACTCTACAATGTGCAAACACACAGAAATCCCTGTTTCCCAATGATGTAATACAAGGGCGAATGCGTCGTATGCGTGATGTCAGCGAATGGGTTGCGATGCTGTAATACACGGCGTATGCGTGATGTGGGAATAGGTTCGTTACACCAGAGATGTAAACAGATTGCGTGGGTCGTGGCTCAATTCAAATTCGTTTGCAACAAGAGAAGGATGGCCAATAAATTTCGGATGCCGCATATATCGCCTAGTTGCCTAGTTTTCGCAGAGGCTTTAGACACAAACATATCACGCATACGCCTCGGTGGTGGCTCGTTGCGGCACAAGACAATGTATATTTGTTGACAGCCCCGGAATTATTAATAACGTACGTGGCGCACATAATTCATCATCAGGACAGAGTGAACCCGCAGACCTTTAGCTCCTCCTTGGTCTTCCCTCCTCCCCAGACGACGCTGCATAACTTAAATATCCCAAGGGCTCGAGAGTACGGCTGTGAAAACACAAGTCACAAGCCGGCTTAGCCAAACAAAAGGCGAATAAAGTGCACAGAAATTCTGGTAAGATGGAACGGGGAAATAAAAAGAAAAAAATTGTTGGTCCAACCACCAAAAAAAAAAAAAAAAGCTGAAATGGTAACTGAAATATGCAAAATTAGCGCTGATGGATTTTCAGGAAGGAAGCTGGTCATGGAAGGATGCTGCTAAGCAACTACCAAGTTCCAGACTCAAGCACACACACACACACACACAAAGCGTAAGAGAGAGAAAGAGAATTGGAGCCCAAGGACGAAGGACTCGGTGCAAGTTGCTGGCTGCATGCACGTAGTTTCGAGTGTTTTTACGAGCAGCTTTGCATACTTTGGCAGTATTTTCACATTTTCTTAAACGCGCTTTGTTTGTGCAGTTTATGCCGGATGGCAGATGACAGCCACTCGTTCAGCATTCAGTGTTCAGTGTTCAGTGCTCAGTGCACTTTGCGAGTGTCTAAAGCCTCTGAAGAGCGACATAAAGCTGCGATTTGGCTTCGCTAAGAGCCATTCAATTAGGCCACAATTGCCATCCCCTCCTCTTACCCTCGCTCACACTTGATGCGATTTCTTTCCTCTGCCCAAATGAATTACACAGTTCATTAGCGCGATTGTTTCGTGCTCAATTGAGCCAGTAAATATTAAATAATTTCCATTATCAAGTGCAAACAAGGCCAAAAGTACCAGGAATGCTTTTGATTGCCATTAATTTGTGATTTACATGCCGGAGAGTCATTTGGAAGCAGAGTGCCGAGTCTATTAATTAACAACAATGTGAATTAAGAGTAGACAAAGCTGGCTTTTGGCTAAGATTAGGTTGGATTTTCTGAGAGTACTTGAAATTTGAAAATTGGGAATTATTTTTTCCCCCTTTTTTAATTATTAAAATGTTTATAACAAACTGAAAGTTTACTTAGTTATAGGAGTTTTTCAAGTAAATGTGAGAGAGAAGTTTTCTCTCTTAAAACTCTTTAATAAAATAACAACAAGCTAACAAAAAAGGTCAAACAAATTCCAAATAAATTAGAAACAAAAGTACAAACACAATATGCAAATCATAAACATTCAAAAACAACAATTTGATTCAACTGCAATATCCACAAAAATTAAGAGATTTATACTTGTAGGCCTTCACATTTGGTGAAACTCAATAGAAAATCTTTCTAAAGAACACAACACAAATGTTAATTGACATAGAAACATGCTTGAATATTCTTCTTATTTCCAATACATCTTATATATTGTTTCAGATTTCACAAACAATAAAACAGACATGTTCTTTAATACCTTAAAATCATTGAATGATTAAAAACCTCTTCATTTTTATTTTCAAAAGCTTTCTGGTGCCTGCCAACCGAGAATTGTTTATTCTGTTTGTTGCAATTTATGGGGCCTTAGTTTTTACGGAAATGGAGGGTTAAATGTCCTGCTCCGCTCGAGCAGCTGAATCCTTGGGCTTGGTCTATTGTTACACTTTTCGTGCTTTTCAATTATGCATTAAACTATCGCATATATATCGCAGTGGGTTATAAAAACGCTTTGCTCCTGCTGCCTGACACTGTGCACATCCGGCTTGGCCATGATAAGCATTTTACGGGCTTTATCGCCGAACACGGAATGGGGTCTGAAGTTGGTTGTATGGGGAGTGTGGAGAGAGGAGTCCGGAGTCCAAAGTCAGGAGTCAGGCTGGTCGTTTCGTTGAGGTGGCACTGCATTCCGCGGAGTCGCTTTTAATACTCTTTCAGAGGGGATAATTCTTGCAACACGAGGTTTATGATTTCATTTTCTTTTCTACAAAAATCTGAGACTCAGGAGATCTTGGGAAATAATTCTAATAAATATTTAAATATATATTTAATATATATTTTATATTTTATATTTTATTAAAAGGTTTTTATAAGAAATATAAATAAAATAGTAAATTTCTGTTTTATTTTCAGAGCAACAATTTTGTTATAATAAAAAGTTTGTACCTATACTTTTTCCACAAATAATCTTTAAATAAATATTCAAAAATAAATATAAAATATTTATTTTAAGCTTGTTATAGTTCCTTTTTCTTAATTATTTGCCCTGTCAGGGTATTTTATGCTCCTGCATCCTGCTAGCAGAACTTGCCTTCCTTTTTATTTTCCACTTTGCTGCAAGTTTATAAATAAAATGTGCATATGTGACACTCGTGCACGCAACGCCGCTGGCAAGGAGTTGTTGGTGAACGGAAAACGGGGCGTGGCACCGAATACCAGAGCGCGAACAAAAACCGGAAGCCATGCAAACCCAATCCTCTCCCCCGCCCCCTGCTTACGACTTTTCCCGCCAAAAAGCTCGCCTGTTTTATTATTGTTTTTGCCACACATTGCGGCCTGAACTAAAAGTTCTGCCTCGCCTTTCGCGCTTGTTTTTCATCCTCTGCGTTGACATCTACGTCGCTGTCATTAATTTTAAGCTGCACGCTTTTTGGGCGGCCGCCGAGTCCAAATTACGATTTAGCCTGGCAAAAACCAGCAACTCCCACATTTGCATTCTGAATTTCGGAATTTACCTAAGCTCTCTGCGCTGCCGTGGGGCACAAATTTTGTTGGCGAAATTGAGCAGAAAGTTTTCGCCATTTCAGTGATTTTCATACAATGCAAATGCTTGAGTTAAGGCTTTGCCAAGTATGACATATTTATTAGTGTTGGGAAGTTGTGTTTATCGTAGGTAAACTTGGGGTAAAATATTTATAACATTTTACAAATCTGTGGCTGTATATAAATAAGAAAATAAAATAATAAATGTAAATTAATAAATGTAAACTAATAAATATGAATATAAACTAATAAATAAGAGATTTTGAGAATGTTACCAAGATATTACTAGGCGTTTTAATTGATTTTAGCTACTTAGAAATGACTCATATTTATTTAAAAAAAGTTGTTATTAAAGAAATATCCTCTAGAATATTTTCCAAGGTCTCTTTTGTGGTATATGCATTTTAATTTAATTTTTTTTTTAGCAAACTAAAGAAAATAAGCCACCTTAAGGGATTTTAAACTCTTAAAACTGCCAGGCAGTTTCCTTAAGTTCGCAAAATCTCTGGAAATTTATCAATAATAAACATAAATAATAAAATATAAATTACACAAGTAAATAATCACCGATTTTTTTAATAAAATGCTCATCTTACTGTGTATTTAACTTGCTTTTAGCAATTTATAAATGTTTCAAATTTATTTAAACAGAATAATATTAAAAGAACACTCTTAAAAATATTTACCAAAGTTTCTTTTTTATTTTTATAATCCTTAGACATTTTTTATGCAACAAATTAGAGACAATAAAAAGATTTCAAGGCCCTATAGCATTTTTACCACCCATCATTGCCAGGCAGTTTTCCTGGTAAACTCTGTCTGCTGTTGCCTTTTATCGACATTGCCCTAAAACTATAAGAAAATCCCATTCAACGACAACGAGTGCAGGTGGAAAATATCTTGCTTGGTCACAAAACTTTCCCAAAAACTCCACCAATTCTGTTTTAATCAGTTAAAATGCCTGTCTAAGCCGTATAATAGGGAATGAGTCTCAGTGTCTCAGCATTTCTCATTCAAAATTTAATTTAAAAGTTTGCATTTTCATTTTATTACAAATATACAGACACACAAATGTATGTATGTTTGTCTGCTGTTGTATTTTCTTGTAGATTTCGTTTTGATTTTATTTGGCAGAAAACTATTTGGAAAAGTTTTGAATTTAATGCGCAAATACGTATTATGGGAGGGCATATACATATACTTGGATGTACATATATATATATATATGTATATATATATATATTTAGCTTTATCTGGGTAGATGTCACCGAGTGACAGTCGTCCGGCATTTGTCTGACTGTAATACATTCTAACAATATTGTCGTTTGGCGCAGCTTTTGTACCCCGCCTCGTCTCGCTGAGTTTAGTTCAGTTTCAGTTTGGAAAGTTTCTGCACTGCCTGCCTGGCTGAAATAATAATTGAATGTCACTTGAACGACAAGTTGGTGCTTCAGTCGAGAAAAAACCGAGTAGAAGGCAGTATACCGAGTCCGAATCCGAATCCGATTCGGAACCCGGCGGGAAAACTACCAAACAATTTTGTCAAAGTGACAAAATGCCGAACGAAGAGGCAGGCGGCAGCTAGCCAAAAAACTTGTTTTCACTGGCTTAGCCAAAAGTCTGTCTTACAGATATATACATATAGAAATATATATGTATTTTATCAGCGGTTTTGCTTTTGGCTTTCGGCTTTGTTGAAGCTACGGGCTACAAGGGAATTTTTGGGGGAATTTCAATTGAATTTTGAGCTGCTCTCAAGGGGAATTTTTAATTGAGCGCAGGCAAATCTCTTGGCCCAAAAGCAGACCATAGACCGCATGCACATAGTTTCGTCGTCAGTTTTTAGCCAAAAAGGCCAGGCCAGAAATCTAAGCCAAAGCCAGAGCGAAAGCCAAAAGCTGTAACCACATTTTAAGTCTCCCGAAAGCGACTCATATAAATCACGAATGAATTAAGTGTGGCCTGACCTGTTACCACTGCTTTTCCCTTGGATTTCCCGTGCTCTTTGTAGCTTCTCATTTCTTTTTCTTTTCTTTTTGGGTTTTTTCGCCCTGAGTTTTTGTGTTTTCCTCCCCATTCGTTTTTCTTTGATAAACTTGAGACGTGCGTCCTTGCAGATGTATAAACGTGTGGGTGACTTACTGTTTGCGTAAGTCAAGACCCACAACAAGGATGTGGCATCGAGTCTGGAGGAGCAGCAGGATGCCAGGAGGCCAGGCTGCCCTTTTGCCGTTCGTCATTTGAGTCATTGCGGTCAAGGCGCCTTTGTCTCCCATCTCCTTCGTTGTCTCCTCCGACTCCGGTTTAATATGTGGCCGGCTGTTTTAATGCCTTATTTGCACGTGCTGACGTTTATCTCGGCTCCCAGGAACACAACTCAACACAAGATACTCGTATATTCGCAGCCAGCCGTTAGCCGTTGGATTATCGGGCCAAAAAAGTTTTCGGCCAGGCCAAGAGAGGCGAAATAGAAATGCGGTAACTGTGGAAATGGAAATGGAGCCCGAAGTTGGTAGACCAAAAAGAGGAGATTACCAAACAAATTGTCCTCCTAATGTGACGCACTCAAAGCGGAATGGTGTGATGCAGGTTTGGAGGTAGAAACAAATATATATTTTACTCAGGATGTACTTAAAAAATATTCCTAATATTTATATTTCTTTATAAATGTCATGATTTTAACCCTCTAGTGCCCAAATTTTTTTTTTCAAAATAAAAATTATTTTTGGAATTAGTATGTATCAAAAGTGAATGTTTGTTTTGGAAAAAATTTTACTTTTGCTCGGATCGAGTTTTATATGACTAAAACCTTGGACCGCATGAAGGCAGTTCTGGGAAGATAGGCCAACAAAAAATTAGGTAAAAATTTTTTTTTGTTTAAATGTTTATTATAAATGTCATTGAGACTGTCAGCAACACAGTACAATTTTTTTTTCTAATGTTTTTCCAATTTTTAAAAAAAGTATTTACATGTTGTATTTCCTACAAAATAATTATTTTGTCCGATTTGCACAAATTTTCAACTTCAAATGAATACAGCAGCTTGCGCTAGCTCTAGTATGTATTCCAAACGCAACGAACTTAATTTTTGGACTTTCCTGAATTAGAAAAAACGGAAAACCGTGTGAAAAGAAATAAAAATAATAAAATAACGGTGTTTTAAACATTGCCCGTTTAGAGGCGGTCTTGGGCACTAGAGGGTTAATATTTATTTATTTATTTACTTAAAATTAATTAATTATTACCAAAATGTATATGAAATTGTCACCAATTATTGACCTTGAATTGAATAGTAAATATAAATTACATTTGTATAACCCAGAATTTGATTTATTACTTATAAAAATCAATTAATCTTAAAAGTGTATATTAAATATTTAAATAATATTATTTTCTGTTTTTTTAAGATTTTTAAAATATTTTTAAAATGAGGACAATATTTACTTATTATTTTTCTATTTCAAATACTTCAAATAATTTAAATATTAAGAATTTAACTCTAGTAAAGTAACTTTTAAATATTCCCAAGTAAACTTCTATCCTTTATTTTCTGTGTAAGAAGGACATTGCACATGCCACCACATGCTACGATGCAAAACTTGGTCTTTTAATGAAATTAATTGAACACTGCAGGAACCACTGCCATTCAGATATATCTGGGGCTATAGCAATCCATGTGCTGGCCCACGCAATTTGGCAACTGTTTGCTGATTTGTTGGGACGTTGATGCACATTAGGCCACGTTTTCTCCGAAAATTTCGCCCAAGGAAAGTGAGGGGAGTGGATGCGGCCATGTGCGTCCTTGACAACGCCTTAGCCTTAGCCTTTGCCATTGCCATTGGCCTGGTCTTTGAGTTGGTCGGAGCACACACATGTGGCGTTGCCGGGGAAAGTTTGTCTATGCAGCGGCCCAACGCCTTCGAGGTGCTCTAGTATTAGTAGTTTTAGTAGTAGTCCTGTACGAGTCCTGTGGCCCCGTGTGTCGGTATGTGTTGACCTATCAGTTTACGTGCCATTTAGCACTCAATTAAATTCGCACAGCGCAAACACACAGGAAACACCCGAACCAAGAACATTTAAGTAAATGTGCGCTCATCAGCAAGGAGCTGGAAGCAAGGACTGCCAGCTGAAAAAGGATTTGCAGTGGCAGTCCAATCATTGCCGCTCTGCTCAGGCTATTAATCAAGGCAGTGAGCATTTGTTGAAAGCAATTTATTTCGTTATCGAATGGTTTTGCCCGGGTGAACAGAGACAGGACGAGAGAGCTGGCTCCTAAAAATTATGCAAGCCAAGCGAAATGAGGACCTTGGGTTGCAGTTTCCGAAATTTTTGAGTCGTCCCCCTGGGAGACCTCAATAGAGCTGTCAGCTCGTGTCATATTCAGAGAGAGAGAGTGTGCGTTTGTTTGCTCTAATTAAAATGAGTGTGTGAAGAGGCTGCTTCAGAGGCCATAATTTATAGTTATCGATTGACCAAATATTTTATTATTTAAATTGAGATGGCTGCCGGCTGTTTGGATTTCAATTTCTACTTCTTGGATACTTTTTAGCTGGCTAACTGACAAGCTGCTAAGTGCAGATAAGGCCCGTTGCCTGATTTATCTGTCAGGCTTTTATCAAACTGCAACCAGAGACAGGGGCTAGGCTAGCAGGTCAAATATCAAGTGGGGCTTATTGATTTTTGACGCTTGATTAAACAACCAAAACGGGGGAAGCCCAAACCAGAAGCACACACAAAAGGAAACAGAAACAGAAACAGAAAGCTTAAATGGGGAATGTGAAATCTGAACGCGCTTTGCAATTGAGTTTCATCATCGTGGCCATTACAACAAGCAGTCGGCAATCCAATTATGTTCCTGATTCTGGCCGCAACTTCTGCAGACTCCTGCTGATTGGCCGCCTGAGTGACTGACTGACTCACTGACTCGCTGACTGACTGACTGACTGATTGGCTGGCTGAGTGCCTAAATGATTGCCAAATTAGCCAAAAGTGCACTTAGCATTAAGCCTGGGCTGTGCTGTGGGGATGGCAGTGGCAAGATTAGCCTATTTGATTCATTAAATGCCTGCCTTTGAGGGACTTTCCCTTGTCTTTTTTTTTGTTGTTCTGTTCTTGTAAAACTTGAAATACAATTTGAAACCATTATTATTCAGCAGCTTCTTCTCGGTAACCAGATCCCTGCCCAGCCTTTTCATTATCGAACATTTTTAAGGCAATTTTAAATTCAAGCCTCCGGTGGGGCAGGACACACAACCTGCAAGAACCTTCTGTCCACTTAAATTTTAGTTAAAGTTTATGCTGTCAATGTGCGCACCATTGAAACCTGAAACGGTGACAATTTTCGGGGCAGAGAGGCAACTTCACCGTTTGCCGTAACAATATGTTGCGGGCGGAATCCACCTCACTCGGCGCTCGCTTGCAGCCTCTGCTCGTATTTTGTGTGAGTGTGGCAACTTTTGTGAACCAAACTTGCCAACTTGTACACGGAGAGAAATGAATGAAGAACTTAGTATTAAAGGTTCAAATTCTAGGAATTTTTTAAAGTATATTCTGGACTTTGAATACATTTGACTTAATTTTCAATATATATTTTCAGAATAAACAAACTTCAAATGGATACCTAAATCTTTCTCCCTCTGCAAGGGCTTTAGAGTATATATCCTGGTCGTTTCTGCATTTACCTGTGTGCGTGCCGCCTCAAGTGCGCTATAAGTAGACCCGTTGTATCCTGTATCTATCTGCCATATCCCCATGCCTTTTGGATCTGTGTGAAAGCGTCTAGTTACAGAATTTTGTGGTAAGTAAAACATTGCAGCCCGGGACTACAGTAGAGTCGAGTTACATGACACTCACACACATACGGATGAGAGAAACCCGGGGAAAGCCAGGCAACTAACCCGCACAAGTTGCATTCTGGGTCATCTTTGGACAGGCCTCCGGGGAACAGCGAGGTCCGCATCCCGTAAAAGTGGCTCCAACACGGATGCACGTAGCCACACATCGGAGTATATATATGGTACAAGTACGAGTACCAGTTACGAGCATCGCTGCGGTGCACCTCAAATATTATTACTAGCATTCTTACCGATATTGCCGTGTACAGGACAGGACGCTACAACCCACCCACCCACACATCGGTGAGGGGAGTAGCCGCTGCCACTTGCATGCCAACTGGACATGTATTAAGGCCAACTTCAACTTGTTATCGTCGGACAAGCCGCAGGCCACACCAAAACGAGGGGTTGGGGTATGCCGATTGAACCATCGGAGAATGGCATGCTGGGAATTCGTTCGCGGATCGAACTTTTTTATTTCAAGGACTCACTCAAAAAATGTAGCCATGAATTTTCATAGCAACTATAATGGGTTTTATGAAATAATATGTTATGTGCTGGGGCTTTTCAAGGCTTACGAAGCTAAAGTGAAATTAATTGAAAGCGATTTAATGGGAAACTGAAATTTATGGCATATTTATAGTATTTTTCAGGTAATAGCTATTCCTTGTCTTACGAGACAATAAAGTTTTCTACTTAAATTGAAAGAGAGAAATGTATATAAACCTTAAATGCGATTTCCCAGGTAAACGTAACGAAATTGATTGCATAAAGTCTTGGTGGTGGTTAAAGCGGCAACATGATGACATATTTACGAAACCCGAGTGAGTGCAGCGACATAATGAAATATGGCGGAATATGCAGTGCAAAATGTTGAAATACAATTATCACACAAGTGTGTATACACATACATCCAAGGAAAGGCAAGCATTTTTATTTAATTCTGTTGCAGGGCGGCATTTGTTGTTGCTTTGCGAAGCGCTCTTCAAAAACTTTGTGCAGTACACGCAGTCGAGCGCTTAATTTGCAACATTTCTTTGTCACAGGCACAAGAACAAAAAGGGCAGGAGGAGGGACAACGAACGCGGCAACGAGTGCGGCAATAACAGCCACTGCTGTTCACGGCAACAACCACGCTGTTGCTGGCTGGAAACACGCCTTAAAGGACGACGACTACAGCGACAACGACAGCGGCGGAAGCTCGCACATTGTAAATAAGATGTAATAATTTTAAAACGCAAAAACCTAACAAAAAGGAGCACAAGGATGCTGCGCGAAAGGAAGAGAGGCTTTTTTTAAATACTATTCGCAGGGGTTGCATGCATGTCTGAGTACGAAAAAAATGTATAAAAAAGCTGGAAACAAGTGGCAGGGATTAGCTGCGAAACGAAGCTGCAAATACCCTAGGAAATTTGTTCTCAGATTTGTAATTGTCCTTTAAGGATTAGCTTTTTGTTGTTACAAAAACAAATTAATTGTTGAAGTATTTAGGTAACAAAGAGATAGAGATAACACCTTTTAAATTAATGGTTTTTTAGCTTTGTAAATAAAATCTGTTGCTCTTTTATTAAATAACCAGGTTTTCCCTTTCTCTTATCATTACATTTATCACAAATTTATTTCTGTTGATGATTTTTAAGTACTTTTCCCCTAAATCCTTTTTCAAGTGAGTGTATAGAAAATAAAAACCCTTTTAAGCAGCGAGTGGAAGGACGCATCATTGGCGCACAGACACAATGCATGTTGCAATTGACAGCGGAATGGCAGGCAAAAGGAGCAGCAGCAGCTGCTCTCACAGATGCACACACACACACGTCGAAGAAAAGCGAGGCAACTGGGAAAAGGCAAGGAAAACCAGCCAGAAAAGCTCCTAGATCTAGTAGCAGTAGCAGGAGCTGGAGCAGCTGCTGCTCGTGGCCAAAAAACCGTTTCGTAATTAAGTGCTGCCGGCAGAGTGTGGCTGGAGCATGCTCCTCGGAGCGTGTGTGTGTGTGTGCGTGCACTTGGCTATTGGTTGCGGGTAATGAGTGCCCCCAGGAATATGTGGGCGTGGTCTGGTGCAGGCAACCACCCATCAGGAAAGATACCTCTGCTTAGCCATTTGTTTGCTTATTTAAGTTTGAGTTTTTCCTATATTATTTCAACTTTAAATTGGAAATTTCTTTGCTTCATTACCAACTTTGTGTCTTTCTCAATTAAGGAGTTTTGGTTTTGCTGCATTTTCTAAACTTAAAACCAGTCCTGAAATGAAAAGTTGCAATGGGTTAAATTGGGAGATCTGTGGTGACATTTCGAATCGAGGAGGGAGGTGTTTTTGGAAGGAATTTTTACAACAAAAGTAGAGGGTTAACTTTTCAATGATTACGCCAAGACTAGACTTGGGAAAGGACCAAGAAATGGCTAACAAATCGATCTTTCTTTTGCGAGGATATGAAATATAAATGGGATCGTACATCAATTCAGGATTGAAATATATTAAAATATATTAATAAATATAGCACCAGCCTAACTAATTCCTCAGCTTTTGCTCTCCTCCTTCGTATCCCTCCTACACTCAAGGGAAATTTACAAAAAAAGGATACCCCGCCACACACATTAATGCGCGTGGATAAGCCCCACTGTACATGTATGTGAATGTCCCATTTAGTTTAAAAGTAAGCACCGCCCAACGAAGCTCGCATACAAAAACATTTCGAGGCAAACGAGGAAAAAGTGTGCAGAGCTTTTTTAGTTAGCACCGAGCGTTTATTTTCAATTTGCTAGCGAATTATTCGCACATCCCCTTGGTCACACACACGCACACACATAATCACGTACGTACGTATACGTCCGTGCAAATGGCCTCGCCCTTAGCCATTGTTTAAGCCGGCTGCTATATTTTAAGGTTATTTGCAGACCCCGGACCGCGGCCTTTCTGCAGCCATTCTCCTCGCCTTTTTTCCAGCATTTTCCTAGCATTTTCTACAACTGTTAGCATTTCTTGCTGCCTTCTGGTGGCCTGTTCTTATTCCGCTGGCGGCGTTAAGCAGCTTAGCAAAGCGCTGCCAACGGACATAAATTAAAATGGCCAGCGCTGCTTTCCGTTTTGTTTCCTTTTTCTACCGCTGCATCCGCTCTCCCACACACACACACATGCACAGTGGAAACACATACAGCTAGGACACACACAGACACACCTTACTGGCACTCGTTTTGTTCATTTGCGTGGCAAACAAATCGCTCGAGCGGCAACAAATTGAGTTTCTTTATGATGTCCCATTTGGCGTGTGCAGGTGTGCGGATCACTCGTCCCATATGAACAGGAGCGGTCAAGAAAATAGCATCAGGAAAGGTGTGGCAGAATAGTAGAATCAGGGAACAATTTCAAGGTCTTTAAGATTATTTTGAACATTAATTTATGGCATTGCAAGTCATGTAATTCCAAAGGAACAGTATTAATTTAAATTTTAAATATTTTAAATTCTGTTTTACTTATTTTTTTTAGCAGTTTCTTTTAGTTTTTAGGTTTAAGAATTTAACATTTTCATATATAGTAATAAAATTATGTATTAACTATTACAAAAAAGTCAAAGAAAGATTTTAGGGACTCTTAAGCATCATTTCGTTACGCATCTTATTTGTATAATCATCAATCAGCATATTAATTTTATTTACAGTACGAAAATTTTTTGTAGTTTTAAGTTTTTCTAGATTTTAGTTTCTATAAAAAATAATTTCGTTACGCATTTTCTTTTTGCATTGTTATTTCTTATTTAATTTTATTTCCTTTATCTATAGTAAGACAAATAATTTAAAAAAATATATAACAAGACAATTTTAATGCTAAAAAGTAATAGTAAATAGTAAAAGTAAGTTAATACTTGAGTTTTTAGTTAACCTTTAGCATTTTTTGTGAGTTATCTTATTTGAATTCTCATTAATTTATTTCCTTAGCTTATAGAAAAAAGAAACATAAATCCAAAATAATTAATAAATTTAAAAAAATATATATATAGTATTCAAAATCTTTCTAATAACCTAAAGTTTTACCTTAACTAACCTATTATTTCACCCCCAACTGTGCCGTCTTATTTGCGGATTGGTATAAATGCCCGCGTGGGTAGGGGATTTTTGGGACAGTTTGCGAGATGATTTTTCATTGCGCCCTTTTTCGGCTGTGACTTTTCTTTTTCCCCACCTTAGCGACTGTCGACTGCCATCTGTTTTGGCCACCGGCGAATAATTTCTTATATCAATCACAATTAATTATGCAAGCTAGCGGAGCGTATGTGTGTGTGTCTGGATGGGTGTCCTGCTGTCTAACCTTTAAATGATAGACGTCCCGACATTTTTCCTTATTAGATTATTCATGCCAAGGTGCGCCGACATCGGCGATAGGGTTGCCATCCCTCCCGGGCACAAAGTGTAATTTCACGGTGGCAATAACTGCTGCGGCTTTTACTGCATATTCGCATTTACTGGGTGTATATATATATATATAGGGGTTTTTCCTGCCACACACACACTTGAGCGCAAAGCGCTGCTCGAGCTGCCAAGCAATTTTGACCAAGGCGGCGGGAAAGGAATTTCCATTACGCCGGAAAAGAAAATACAAATAAATTTGAAGCTTTGAGGGAGACGAACTAAGGATACCTTTGAGTTTTTTCGGAAGGAGTTTGATGTTTGAGAAGGAACATTTTTGAGGAATTTTTCTTAGTAAAATTAGGTTTTAGGCTCTTGGAAGGTTTTATAAGTTTAGTCTGAAAATTACAAATAAACTCTAGAGTTTTCTAATAAAAATAAAAATATAACAGAAAATAGCTAAATTTCAAGATTAATTTTCTCCTAAACTAAGTACATATTTTTATGTTAATATAAAATGTAGTTCCCTTTTTTAAGTATCTGTAACCTGCACTCCCTTACACCCTTGATACCCATTAGCTATGCATTATAAAAAAAATACGCGAGACAGCAGCAAGCGCGTAATGAAGTGAAAATTGTCCTTAAGCATCAATTTGCAGCGGCGACGAGGACGACGAGGATGTCGATGAGATCCTTTCGCTGCTGTCCCTGCTGCTGTTGCTGCTACTGCTGCGGTTGGCGGTTTACCAGGATAATTTGATGCTTGCCGATGCGCGATAAATATAATTTGTTGCACGTCATGTGTATTAACTTTTTGCAGACACTGTCTGTCGCAGATCCTTGGGGGGCCAAAAGAGGAGCGTAGGTATTCCCATTATGCAGCTATTTACACTCGCCATGTGTGCGCCTTGCTGACCCCCGCCCGCAAGTTGTAATTAAAATTGCATAGCTAAATTGATTATGTACATAATACAGCCATTTGCCACCTTTTTTTTAGCCCCAAAAGGGGGATGATAGTATCTGTAGTTGGCGGTAAGTAATTTTCCAGCGGGTCGCCAGAGTTTGGCCAAGTGGAAATTTTTAATTAAAAGCAAATGCTTTTCAGTTTGACTAAAATTTCTGTATCATGCCCGGAACCCGAAACGCTTGTGGTGCAAGATTGCGGCGGAGCTTCGCTCCTTTGACACCGCCCTGGTTTTTGCTTTTGCGTGCTGTTTTTTTTTTTCCATTCAAGTTTCACATTGCCGCCGGAGGGAACCTTCAATTAAGCAACTGACCGCCAAAAGTTCACTTTCACCTTGGCAAAAAAAAAGAAGGAAATCCTCTGACAGAGCAGCGCTGGATTATGGCTTTCAATCTGGACAAGATTGCAGTCTGCCAGCGGCGGCAAAAACATAAGCATTTGTTTGTGCAACACAATGACCCGGCATCCTCTGCATCCTGCCTGCATCCTGGCACCCGTCATATACGTTGTCACGTGGGATGCATACTGGCAGCCGGCAAAAATATGAAGAGCCAGCCGGAGAGCCCAACTCTGCATGTTTCAATTTTGAATATGTTGCACGTTTTTCTGCACTGTCTTTTCCTCGCGGAAAAGTGGCGGCAAAAACCCGGCAATGCACTCGTGGAAAAATAGAAATAAAATGGAGAGCATGCATCACTGCGTCATCGGGGTAGGGTACTGTGCCCGTCCAGGTAATAAACAGGTGAACACGCGCTCTGGACAGGATGCGAAGGAGGAGCTGGGGAATCAATCTGGGGAAAAACTCAAAAAGAGTTCATATTTCATTTTCAGTTTTTGTTTTTTTCCCGTGGAATCAAAGGGTAAATAGAGATGGATCTCCCATTTAATTATAGATACGACAAGATAGCAGTTATTCGAAACGTTTTGCAAAACATTTGAAAGGAAAGGCGGGTTTTTAGCTGGAAAAAATGTAGCTTCATTGGGATTTTTGAGGTAGGGGTTTTAGGAAAATATCCTAGAAAACTTTGAAGTGTCTAGTTTTTCAGAGTGTTAAATTATTTCAATGGTTTGATGGGAGCTTTGTGAGATGTTTATAGAAAAGTGTCAAGAAAAAAATATTTAAAAATAAAAATCAAGGTTTCAAGATCATTAAATAATTCTTATAATTCTGCTTCTAAATTTTAGGGATTTAATATTTGATTTATTTTGTAATATTACTTAAT